TTGTTTTATTAATGAATCACACAACAATGTGTTTGTGAAAGGGGTCACTAGTAGTGATGAAGTCATAAAAAAAGATCACCCTGCTTTCCTCAGCTCTGTGCAGCTTTTTAGCATCTTTCAGCTCATAGTTTTGGTTTGCCAGTCCACAGCAGGTACTGTTTTACTGCTGTTTCCGGCTGCAGCAGTTGGTACAAGAAAAAAGCTCTGCATACTTCCTGCTCAGCACTCAAAAGGAGTGTTAAAAATTGAGCAATTAGCCGGGTGAATACAGTGAGAGAGTTGGTGGAGACCAAAACAGAGTTAAAACTAGGTGAATATTCACTTAAATTTACCAGTTTGATGCAAACATGAAGGATTATGTGTGTCTCTAGTTGCTGGGTGTGTGAGCTTTTTTCTAACAAGTTCATTATTTATACTTAAGGTTTAAAAACAAGCCCGGTGCATACTCGCGTGTTAAACAAGGCTAAATAATTTCCTGCAATAGAGGGACACTGTAATTTTAGGCAAATGTCACTCAAACAGGAGGAGAAAGTGCATTTGCTGGTACTAGTTTCAGCTGCAGATTAATACACATTTGATGGTTTGATGAGCATTTCCAGCATCAAAACAGAGGGACTTGAGTCAAAATAAACCACAGTGGCCATGCTCATTGTAACAAAGGAAAATGTCAGTCGGTGCATCTTAAATAAAAAAAAATATGCCAAACCTCTCAAAAGTATCCATTTTTGATTGGTACCCCTTTAATAGCCATTGTTTATAAGCAGTATACAGTGTATCTTAAACATTTAATAAATGGTGTACACACTATAATGTACTGTAGTTGTACACAGAATTAATATTTTCTGTGATGTATAGTACTTCCAGCAGTTATAACCTCTTCTATGAAGGCAAATTTTGTATCATTTCCAATGTTATTATATTTACTATGTTGTGTGTGTCACATGTCTAACTCAGGTTTAACACTTCAGGAAACTGTGCCAGGTCCTGATTGGCCCCCAGCCACACAGTCAGGCCAGTCTCATTCGCTCTAATGACTCCTTAAGATGTGACGGGTCCATGTTGACACACTTGCTTCCCCTTACAGACCTTCACTGCTTTGCTCTGACACCCCTAAAAAAACATTTTCCAGCAGTGTTCACACACACACAGAGAGACACACACACACACACAGAGACACACCTAGAGCTGTGCCTATTAGACTGGTTCTCAGCCATGTGCCCTACAGTGCACCACACTCACTGAGACAGCCTGTGAGCTCCGCGTGGTGCTGCAGTTCAATATGTGGATTGGTTGAAGCAGCAGACCTAAAGCAGAGGAATATGGACACAAAGGCTTGTCTTTCAGCACAGTCTCTGTATCTGAGACAATGCAGGATGGATGGATTGTGTTTGCTCAGTAATCCTTAATATACAATAGGTAATGTGATACACCGTAGAGTCAACACCAGGCTAATTGAAGAAATTATGAAAATTACATCCTCCAAGAAAATAATATCCAGGCTATATAAACTCATCAAATACAGATTCACCAATACCAATACAAAAAACTCAAATGGGAAAATGATTTAACTCTCCCCCTCAACTCCAACTTCTGGACAGAAATTTGTAATAACATCTTTTCTGTGACCAGCAATGTAAACTTACAACTTATACAATACAAGACCATTTATAGGACCCATATTACAGAAAGTAAAATGTTCAAAATAGGTTTCACTGACAGACATCTGCTCACAATGCACTCTAGATTGCATCGACAGTTACTTTCATGTTACTTGGACCTGCCAACCAGTTTATTCCCTCTGGATAGCAGTGACAGAGAAACTCTCCACCATCTTGTGCTGTAGAATCCCTCCTTCTCCATCACTTTGCTTACTCGGTAATATCATAGAACTCGACCACCTACCAATTAAATATAAAAACCCACTCCTCATTTCTCTAGCTATTGCCAAGAAAACAATCTTTCAAAACTGGAAATCAAAAAAATCACTACACATAAACCACTGGACCAACCTTCTGACAGAATATATCACATTAGAGAAAAATGGCATCTACTCACAAGAATAGTTTATCAGCTTTTTATGACACATAGAACCATTTTAACACATTTCAGCTTGAGCCAAACACCTGGGGCTGAGGCCACACACATTCCCACCAACCTCTAAAAATTTAACAAGCTAATTTTATTAGTAGTACTGTTATCATCATTATTATTGGTCATTTTTTATTTATTTATTTCCCCTCCTTTTCCCTTTCTTGCCTTTCATAAGTTGGAAATACACACACTTCACACACTACAATCTTATAAAACACACAATATCTTTTTGTGATGTCATGTATCTGTTGGCTTGTCTCCCCAGTTCGGTACTGTTTTGTTAATGTGTTACTTTGTTTCAATAAAAAAAAAAAAAAAAGCACCGTCTGTGTACTTGAGACAATGCAGGATGGATGGATTGTTTGCTCAGTAATCCTTAATATGCAGTAGGTAATGTGATACACCGTAGAGTCAACACCAGGCTCAGAAGCTTATATTTGTAAGCCCTGGCCATATTTGTGTTGCATCCCGAGGATCAAACTCTAAATTAGTGCTGAAACAAAATGTGGTGGTCAAATAAATGGAGTATAAACAGAGTGGCAGTAGTGTTCACATCACTCTTGGAGGTGAGAACAGCACCTGATGTGAAGCAGACATCAGGCTTGTTTGCTTAGAGAACCAGATGCTTTACTGCAACAGAACAATCTAGACCCAGTCATCTGACAGAAAGTTATTTAACAATTCTGATAATAAAGTCCTTCATAAAGCACGTGCCAATAAATGTACTGCTTTACTGTGTTTTATATTGGCCTAAACTGAAGATCTTTTGATTTTGAATGGTTGCTTGGACAAAACGATATTTAGAGACATCACTTGGGCTTTGGGAAATTTTGATGGACATTTTTAAAATTATCTGATATTTTTTATGATTATTGTCATTCAATCGTGAAAGGTAGTCGAGCGATTAATCAACAGTGGAAACAATTGTAACAGATGTAACATAGGTGTAGGTTAACAGAACCTGATATGTAAATGCTTGTCGTAATGCTATGGCGCTCATCACGCTCTGTGTTGCAGGACAGCAGTGGTCTAGTGTCCACAGAGGATCAGGGGTCATATCCCTTGTACTCTTCAAAATCCTGTTGGATCCCTTCAAGACTTTAAAATGTTTTCTCTCTCTCTTTCATATACAAATGAATAGATGATCTGTATTTTGATTTGTAGTTGATATTCTCCAAAAAGTAATTAAATGTAAAACTAGCTTACTATTACTGCGGTAAAGCAAGCGGGAAAAACCAGCTCCAGCCTAATGAGTTGTTCTAGACTGATATGAATGTTAGCCAGCAGTCCTATGGGAGTGTTTGGTTGGTGAACTGCCACAAAGGTTTGTGATGACTAAAAGATGAATCCTGACAACGTCTATGACAACATGCTATGACCCATCTTGTGCCATTATCCCTTCAAATATATAGATTTTTTTCCAATTTGGTTTAGGACCAGATATCTATAAAACTGACATTCACATCAGTCTCAGCTGTACTATGTTTAGTGCTAATTAGTAAATGTTAGCATGCTAACAAGCTAAACTAAGATGTTGAACATGGTAAACAGTATCCCATGTAAACATTCTGGTGTTATTTGGCTTAAAGCATGTACAGCCTCAGAGCTGCCAGCCCAAGCGAGGCTCTGCCTGGGCCTGTACCACGAAACAAGTTCAGCTTAGTCTGGCTCACGTGAGGTTAGCTAGCTTCATTGACTATAGCATTGGCCGTCCTTGATAACTGGTACCACGAAGCCAGTTATCAACTAGCTCTGTTAAATCTGGGTTTTCCTACCAAACTGAGTGTGTTATTGTGAAAGAGGCTGAGTTGTTATTTAGATACGACAACAACACAACCATGAGTGAAGTCAGCCACTGAAAACAGTAGGAGGTGGAGACCTAGGGGGGAAACTTGTTTATAGCCAGAGCAGAAAGTGATGTTATGACAGATAAACTGCAAACAATAGTCACATAACTAGAATAGAATAAGAATCTGTAGAAAAACTCTAGAAATAAAGAATATACTGTACATACATGAAGAAAATGTTGTCAAAAAAATCCAACAGTTTCTCCTGCCAGAGGAGAGAACACTGGGGAGGAACTACACCTCAGGTCAGATGTTCATTTATAATACATATAATACACAGTATCGAATAGTTTTCTAATAAAAGACCATTATCCCAGAGTCTCCTCATGTTATTCTGAGCTGCAGTGATGGAAGCCTGTTAAAAACATCAACAGTTAGGAATTCAGTCCGTAATAACATAATGTCTGTGTACTGAAAACGCAGTGTTGATCATCATGGAGGCTGCAGACTCCCTCAGTTTGTTAGAAATCCAGAAAGCCTGGCACGGCACAATGATATGACTGCTCTGTAGAAATATAATAAAGTTAACCTGCTCCAGAGCAAGTTAGCCGTGCAGCATAAGTTACTGTGGTGATCTAGCCCGATTAAAAGTGAGCCAGCCTTGTGGTACTGAAAAACCTGAGTCGAGCCCACAGTTAGCTGGATAAGCCACTAATCTCACGTTGTGGTACAGGCCCCTGGTCTTGTTTGGGTTTTTTTGTTGGTTTGTATTCATTCTTATAATGAAGTCAGAAGCCTCAGCTTTATTGTGTCTCCTCACTTCTCAAACCAGACCTGTGCTCTTGCAGGAACAGGGTCATACTGTATGTTTTGACAACACACCTGTGAGGTTAAACAGTTTCCCAAACAGCTTGCAGTTACTGTTGGAGCCAAATCCAAATTGTGACAGTGATGGTTTTAGTTTTGCCTTCTGTGTTGCAGATGAGAACAATGTCTGATGAGACTGAGCAGAGAATGTGCGACGAGGACTTTGGTTCGGACGAGGAGGGCGAGGAGGGAGACGTGGAATCTTACCTGGAGGACAACAGCAGCGAGCTCATGGACCGACTGAGAGAGCTGGAGGTGAGAAAACAGACACCACACACCGCTTCATAAACCACATTTCAGTTTTGCAAATTGAAAAGTAGCAGAATCATTTTATTCAAAGACAAAGTCCTTGCACTTTTTCTGTCCCATGTTTTGCCTGTCAAATCTATAGTAAATGTAAATAAACGTACAGTTTTTACGACTGAATTATCCTTTTTTAATTTGATCTTTATCTTTTTAAATTAAGTTATACTCAAACCGTGCACCCCTAATTTTCACATTACCATATTTTGGTTTTTAGGCTGAGAATTCTGCTCTGATGTTGGCAAATGAGAGTCAGAGAGAGGCTTATGAGAGATGCTTGGATGAGGTGAGTTCATGTTGCACACTCAACATTAATTTACCCAATTACAGTGATTATGAATTTAGCTCTTCTGAGTCACTCTACAAATATCAAATCAGTGCGTAAAATGTAAACGTTGTCTTACCAGGTGGCCAATCACGTGGTCCAGGCTCTGCTGAATCAGAAGGTAACTCACAGCTACATTTCTGCATGTGTTTGCATTCCAACTTGCTGTAGCATCGCAGGCTGAGGTCCCTCTGTTATTTTACGGCTTTGTGTGTCACTGAACAGGATCTGAGAGAGGAGTGCATCAAACTGAAGATGCTGGTGTTCGACCTGGAGAGACAGAACCGAGCGCTGTGTGAGCTTTTTCAGCAGAAACTGCCCAATCACCCCACTGCTCACTACCAGGTAAATCAACTCGACTTCCTCTGTGATGGTTGATAAATCATTTAGAGTCAGAACACTGAGGTGTAGGTAGTGTCTATTATATTTTATAAGCAGATCATATGTTGGATATGTACCGTGTGTCTTAATCTGCAGCCAGTAACACAGCTGTAGTGTAGTAAGTGTACAACATTTGCCTTTGAAATATAGCTGAGTGGCACAAAATGGAAATACTCAGAGCACCTAAAAAATGTATTCAAGCACAGTACTGGAGTAAATTTATGTAGTTACTTTCTATTGCTGTCCGTGTGTCAGTGCACAGCTCTGACTCTTCTGTAACTGATTTATTTCTCATTCTTTCACACAATGTGGAGCCAGTGATGGATCCTCAGCCTTTTCACCTCAGCTCTATATTGCTCCAACAGATGCTGGGACAATGTAGCCCCTAGTTGTCTGTGTATACAATAGCCTGTACTGTATACAGTGTCATAATTGCCTGATGAATCTCCTGTTACAGGTCCAGGCGGGACCCCTCCCAGAGTACAATGCACAGGTGCAAAATGACTCTGCCAAACAGGTGGAGCCTGCACAGACTGAAGCACAAGCCAAGGTGATTATTACCAAGCATTAAAAGTAAAACAGTGGGATTTTCTCTTAGCCTGTGAATGGGACCACAGCCCCCACCCCACCACATTACAACATGCGCTGACATTTGCTTTGTTTTCCACTATTGTGCTTTAACACAAGACCTCTGCTGCTAATCTCGGCTGCACTCATTTCCTATACGCATGCACTTAAAGGTCTCGTTGAGCTAAATTGTTTGTCTCTCATAGAGCACCACCAGTGAATTGAATGCTGATAGAGATCTTTTTCTGCCCAAAGGGAAATGGCTACCGCACACAGCATGCCTCCCCAGGCCCTCGTGGCCCAGCCGCCTCCATGGAGGCTCTGTCTCCCTTCTTCAAGAAGAAAGCACACATCCTGGAAGTCTTGCGCAAGATGGAGGAGACAGACCCTCTCAAGTTCCACCCATCCACTGCAAGCTTGTCTTTCTGCGACTATGGCCAGGTGCTCATGTCCACAGAGGCTGTTCTGGCCACTGCGGACCCACTTCCACTACAGTGCAAATCCCATCACACCCACTGCCACTGCTCCTGCTCTGACACCGACACACACCAGCACGTCAACAGTGACGGGGCAGTGAAGTGTGAGGGAGGGAATATCTGCTGTTTACACTGCAAGAGGAGCCCAGACGGTCCTCCAAAGCCATGCAACCACATCTGTAATCCTTCAGAAGCCAACTCCACCACCCAGGGCCATGTAGTTCCCACAGCTGCTACGAGCGAATGTCACAGTAAGAGCAGACCAGTGGAGTCTGCTCCCCCGTCCAAACAATGCAACAAGAATGAAGCCCACCAGCAATCAGCAGACACCACGGCCCAAATCAGAGCCTGAAGATGGTGGGAGTGGAGCAGGAACAGGATAACTTGGAGAGTCATTTAAATGTGAGTGCCTCTGAAGAGCTCACTGGGTTTTGTCCCACCTCCCACCTGCCCAGTTCTGTGGAGAGCTCACAGATCTCCCACTGTGACATGCAGATGAGTGATGGTATTCATAATGGTTTGGCACTCTCTGTCACCACCAACATGTCGAGTGACTCCTCAGTCACTCAGAAAGACAGCAATGATCAGGAGGGCTCCTCTGTGCGAGCCGGTGCCTCCGTCAGCCCTAGTCCCTCCTGCCTCAGTGATGTCAAAGCCACTGCCATCAATTCTCCGTCCAAACTGCTCAAGTTCTTGAAGATCCCCTCGATTGGGGAGAAGTCTCAGGCTTCATCCTCTGCTGTCTGTCTGAGCCCCCAACTCACCCGCAACTCCAGGATCCCCTGTCGCACCAACAACTACGAGGTGTACCACTCTCCTGTTCCCACACGAAGAGCCACCACCACAGAGAGGTGCAGGCAGCCCCCTCCTCCACCCTCCAGATCTGAGTCCTATCCGGCCACACACTCTGCCCCGACCTCCCCACCACAACCTGAAGATGACTGCTCCCCGTCTGCCAAGGAAATAAGCTACAGCAGCCTCTCTGCTCCCAAAGTCAGTGCTGGCTCAAAGATAGGCGCTCCCCCCTCTACGTCCTCCTCCTCACCCAAAGTATCTCAGAGGGTCCCTCATTATGAAAATGTCTGTGACATGCCTGCCATTTCTAGAGAGGAGGAACAAATCCAGGGCCTTGAGAAAAGAGCCACACTTCCAACTCAAACAAAGGTGAACGGTGGTGAGAGGAAGCTTGTTAAATCGCTACCAGAAAGTGTTCTGAATCCCTCTCCTCAACGAAAGCAGTCGTCGTCCTCCACATCAGAGTGCACGTCGGATGATGAAGAGGATTCAGACAGCCCGGTGTGGGTTAACCATCACAGCCTGCCCAACTCATCTGCCCTCAGCAAAGCTCAGGGCAGAGAGAACTACTCCCAAGCCAGAGAGAAACAAGAGACTGATGGAAGAGAAGTCACTGTGCAGAACTCTGAGGTCATCCAGCAGCCACCTCCACCCCCAGCCAGGAGAACTTCCATCCCAAAGAGGCCTGCAGCCGGGTCAGTGAGATCCCAGGCCGATTCTAGTCACCACGCTTTCAAAGACAGGCTGGCAGCGCTGGGCAAGCTGAGGAGCTCAGAGGATTTACAAGTCAATCTAAGGCCAGTCGAGACTGTGAATGAAGGTTCCTATGGCGAAGAAAGGAGCAAGATGTCGGAGAGAGCCGTGGAGCTCCATAAAGAGGAACAGAAACATTCAAAGCATACAGACTTGTTGGATGGCAAAACTAAAGGTAGCAGTGGTGGGTTGAAGTATCCGGGGTCGTCTCCGCTGTATGAACAGGCAGGAAAATCTCAGCCTCCTGGCCCTGCAGTGACCAAGGCTGAAGGCTCCAAGAGCAAAATAGGGCTGCCATCCCCCAACACTGACACTCCACAGGTACTACGTAACAATATCAAGTGTCCTGGCTCCCTGAATCTGGCCTATAATGTTAAACCTGCTGTTAGTCCTCATAGTACCAACAGCCCCAATAAAATCCCCCCAAAGTCACCGTCCAAACCTTGCCAGGGTCCATCTGTCCACAGAGGGGGAAAGCCCGCAGAGGCCCCACGTTACTCATCCAAATCAGAGGAGAGGACCAAGATCAGCGGGAAGGGGAAAAAGAACCCGATATACGGAGACAGCCTCCCGCCTCCTCCTCCAAGACCTCCACTATCTGAGGGTGAGAAGCCGCTGCAGCCGGTCCCCAGCCTGCAATCTGCCATTGAGCAGAAGGTGATGAAGGGCATCGAGGAGAACGTGCTGAAGCTTCAGGAGCAGGACCGAGGAGGGCAAGGCAGTGAGGTCAAGCAGAAAGCCTCCAATGGCATTGCAAGCTGGTTCGGCCTGAAGAAGAGTAAACTGCCCGCACTGAACCGAAAGACGGACACCACCAAAGCAAAGGAGGAGAAGAAGGAGTGGAAGATAAACATTCCCTCTGTGGGCAGGGACTCAGTGAAAATGGCCACCAGGTGTAAAGAAGGCGTGGAAGGTCTGAACATCTCCACTCTGATGGAAAAGGCAGAGGGCCTGAGGAGGGCCTTGGAGGAGGAGAGGGCGTATGTGGAGAGGTCAGGCAGGGGCCACTCCTGTGAGGTGGTGATGGACCAAGCTCAGGGACAGCTGGCGGTCATGTACAGGGGAGCGCGCTCTGACAACTTCATGCAGCAGCTGCTAAACAGGTGAGGACTTAGCAAGGCCCAGTGGATTGTAAAGCTGCTGTAATAACAAGCTGCAGCTGTAACACAACAGTTAAATTTAGTAACAGTTTGGAAAATATGCTTATTTGCTTTCATGCTGAGTTAGATGAGAGATTCAGTACCATACTACCAACTTGACTTGGACTAATGTATAGCATGCTATGTTATATTGCTGTCATTGTACACTGCATGTTCAGGACATACACAAGTAAATGTTATGGTCCTATCTGTAGTGTCTGTTCTCCATTGTTTAATTCGTTAATGTTTTAGATTTTATTTAGTCTAAACTACTTATTGTGTACAGTTTGGCCTTTTAATTGTTTTGTTTCTCTTTAGTTTAACATTTGGTTTTGTGATTTATTTGAAATGGCCGCTCCCATCAACTCCCATCCAGAGACTAAAACCAAAAATGAGTACTGTGTACTCATCGTAATGTGCGTGAATCCAGAACCTGGTTTGACTTGGACTCACTGTCCACTTTATTAGGTACACCAGTACAATTGTATGCATTTCACTTCTGCCTTAACATCCATCAAGTACACCAGGTTCACTGTTGGCTTTAGTCTCGGCCTTATCCACTGAACTGCCATATAGCCTACTTCATTAGTCAGTTCAGTCAACAAACCGACTCTCTCATCATTCTTGACACGATTATGTTTGTAACTGTTTATGTGAGGACCAGCACTGTGAGTTCTTTCCAGGAGAGACCGTCTGAAGCTGTGTGCCATTATGCCAGTGTGTAAAACAGATGTGCCTTCTGCCCCTCTCTGTGATGGTGGGCCTTTCACTCCACCTTTGAGTGAGGTCATTTAGATCAGACAGCGTGGTGCACCAGCTGGTTCTTTTCTTAGACTATGCTACCCTCGGTGCAAGGCGAGCTGTTTCCCCTTGTTTCTAGTCTTTTTGCTAAGCTTACAGCTTCCTGGCTGTAGCTTCATGTTTAACAAACATCAGTTCTTGTTTTACTCTTGCTTGAAAGCCAGTAAGTGTATTTCTCAGTGCCTTTAATGTGAATAACCTCTGTATTTGTTTAAATGTGTAACTGTGTGTGGTATTGTAGATACTTTGGATTTTAACTGACGGTTTGTGTTGTACGAGTACAGAGTGGATGGGAAGGACATGATCAGCGTGCCCCAGCGCCGGCTCTCGTTTGACTGCAAGACCTCCAAACCAGTGTATACTCAGCAGAGTGACATCATCAGTCACATCGGCAGCCGAGACGATATGGACAAGGTACATCTTTGGTTATATATTTTTCTCTGTAGACACAGGCCAACAAGACAGCTCACTTTCATTGAATATATCAGAGTCTCAGGTTCTTAGAACTGCATCAGTAAAATGTGCTCCACATCCAGTAACTTTCTGGTCTAAATTTGGCATCTTGTTTGTTTGACTAGTTTGGTGCAAACTGTGAATAGCTCACTCTCAGTACATCCACTGCTGCATCTGCTGCTCTGTTGTTCTTTCATGCAGGGATCAGATAGAATCGGTAAGATCACGTCAGATGAAAACCTCGCAGATTCAGTTCACTCTCAGCACTTCGCAGGTAAGAGGAGTGTGCCGGGAGTTTCAGAGGAACCAAATGCTGCAAGAGTCACGAGGATAAACAACGATAATAATCCAAAAATGTATTATAAAAGTCTTAAAGGGTAATGAGTACTTTAAATACTTAAAGTATAGTTTTCAAGTATACTTACTTGCTTTTACAGTAAAATGTTACTCGGCAGTAAAAAGCAAAATTTTGAATAGTTTATTGAAGGACCTTTATTTTCACACTGTTCAGTTTTACTGAAGTACAGGATCAGAGTACTTGTTCCAGCACTGTGAATCTGTGGCAGTCCTTAAGGGTTTGAATGAATTTGCAAATTGGCTTACACCTGCATTAGCATATCAAAAGTAAACAAACGAGACCACGCCCCCAAGGAAAATCCATTCAGGGGCTACAGTGAAAGGTCAAATAAACAGTGTGAATTTCATTCATTTACACGTTTACCTCCAAGTTCACTTGTCTTCTTCATTATTTAGCTGTTTCCAAAATGATGCGAGTATTTCCACACCAGTTGTCTTTCCTCCGCAGGATCTGGCGCTTCCACATACACCCTAGACAGTGGCATCGGTACATTCCCCCTACCTGACTGCGGCAGCGGTGCAGCAGGACGTGGCCCGTCCAAGACAAGGGCCGGGGCTGAGCACCACTCGTCCGGCTCCCCAGGGAGGGCCGGGAGACGGGCCCGCACCCTGGACAGAGAGCTGACGTCGCAGGAGGAGTGCTACACGCCACACAAGCAGCTGATTCCCACCTCTCAGTACGGCGCCATGCTGGAGGGAAGAAGTTCAGCCAGCGTCATCCGGGAAGGTGAAGACTGAAGATTGTCAGAGCCTTCAAATGTTGCACTTTGTTGCACAGTACTTTGATGTAGTATGCAAACATACCGCGCTCAGATACAGAGAGAAGCAGTTATTTGTAACAGGAAGAGTAGGTCGTTTCTTAGAGAAAGTAGAAAGCTGCTTGTCTTTGTATTGCTAGCTTAAAGAAAACTTTTCCTGCAGTTGGAAATGGTTCAAGTCATGTGTTTCTACTCCCCATACCCTCAGTATACACTCCTTAGAGAACCAAGGAGCTGTAGAAACAGCTGTAACCCTCCTCACTGTGAAATGGGAATCTCAACCACTGTGCCACTGATGGATTCTGTTTAAATCAAATCAAATTTTATTTACAGAATGCATTGTTGAGGCTGTCATTTAGTAAAGATCCAAATGAGAAACTCCTGTGATGTGGGGAAAGTCGATGAACTGTGGCTTTAATCTTTCCATCTACAGACAGCGAGGCCCATGGAGCTGGCGTTTTCTCTCCTCGCTCAAAGACTTGGACCTTCCCCAACCCGAAGACTCCAGCAGGGTCTGCGGAGGTTTACCTGGCAGTGGAGGAGGAGGAGGAGGAGGCAGTATCCTTCGGCTCACCATTCCGAGGGGTAGGGGCAGTATTTTAGTTGACTGTCAGAGAGATTCAAGCTTTGTCATGTGTCAGACAAAGTGAAGTTAATGAGTCTGTTTTGTATCTTATTCCCTTAAAACTGCAAAGTAGGTGTGCCCTATACTTAAGGTTGAAATGAGGTTTAATAACCTGGAAGAGAAAGCGTGGTGTGGCCATCACTCTGCTTTGCTTGCAAATGATGGTGCCACATTACGTTATGGGTCCCATGTTTTCCAGCTTATTTAAAAAATAAAATAAAAATTAGCTGGTACATTACTGTATGTTACAGAGATCTTTCCTATGGTGTGTGGTACAAATTATAAAAATGGGGAGAAAATGTTAGATGCTACAGTTTAAGTACTCGGCTGTCATGTTCAGGTTTTTTTTATGAAAAACTGAAACAGTTGGGAAGTAGGTGAGTGAAGAATGGTTCATGAACAAATGTCAACATCCACTGGAGTTTCCTAGAAAAACTATCAGAAATTCTTTATGCCTTTGACCTGCTGTACATTATAGATCCACTTGGTAATAAGCATGAACTTTGTGAGCCTTTCATGGAAATATCCTTGTTATTTAAAGCTAAATTTTCAAGTAAATCTGGGGTTTTTTAGGAAATTAGCTGAAAACTATCGGACCGTAAACTAGTGTTTTCTACCATGTGGTACTTGGTTCTACCTAAACAAATGAGTATGTTGATATGTAAGGAAATTTGCTGGGCAGGAGCCTGCAAACATGAATTATCTGGGCCACTTAGAGCCTGAAAGCACTTCGAGATACAAATGTAAATGTGCACTCGCATCTTGCATAATGTAAAAACACAGAAGCCCATTCTCTCTTTAGAAATTATTAATCAGCTCAACATTAGAGATGCACAGTTGGATATCTTCTGTAACCCACTTGTGCGTTTTACACATGAAGGCGTTATATGAGTTCAAACATACAACCTAAAATGTTTCCTACCCCTCTGCATCCTGTCAGAGCGTGAAGGCTGGCGTTCCGTCCTCCAGCCGGATTGTTGACCCAAGCAGCCTGCCCGTCCCTGTCCAACCGGGGATGAGCCGCAGGGGAAAGACTCGCACTCCCAGCGTACCTGAGATGAGCCGGGAGGCTGGGCTGGAGCTGCTCAGGGAGCGGCCGGAGGAAGCCCTCTCCCCGAGCCGCCCTCAGGTCCTGGAGACTCCCGAGTCTCTCAGCGATTCTCTGTACGACAGTCTGTCATCCTGCGGCAGCCAAGGATAATCCAGCCAAGGATCTGGGGAGGGGCACATGCTCATCTAGTGCCCAGACAAGACCCAGCACGCCCCTGGGCACGTCTCCTGGCTACTGGCTGTGTTGTGATGCTGCTGACCTGCCGCCCCCTTGATGTCCGCAAGAATATTCTGGTGACGTTTCATCAGCTGTTTCTCTTTTGCAACTGGAAAGTGGAAAGTTTTCCTCAGGATTTCCAATAAACATGAAGCCAAAAGCCACCCAAGTAACACAGGTTGTTCACTTTTTCACAATCAGACAAGACTGTGGACACTGGTCTGACTCATGTATATAGGACTACAACACGCATGGCCAAACTAATGAC